TGGTGGAACATACCTCAACAGAATTAAAGCCATATATAATAAATGCACAGCCAACATCACTCTAAATGCAGAAAAATTGGAAGCATTCCCATTAAAATCAGGAACCAGACAAGGCTGTCCACTATCCCCACTCCTTTTCAACATAGTACTTGAAACTCTTGCTAGAGCAATAAAACAAGGGAAGGAAATTAAAGGAGTACTAGTTGGAAAAGAAGAAATCAAATTATTCCTTTTTGCAGATGATATGATATTATACCTAAGAGATTCCAAAAATTCCACAAGAAAGCTCCTAGAACTGATCAACACTTTCAGTAAAGTGTCAGGTTACAAAATTAATCTACAAAAATCAGTAGCCTTTCTTTATACCAATAACAAGCAGTTGGAGAAAGAATACAGGGAAATGCTCCCATTCACAATAGCTGCAAAAATAAAACGAAATAATAAAATAAAATATCTTGGAATAAACCTGACCAAAGACATCAAAGGTCTCTACAATGAAAATTTTAAAGCTTTAAAGAAAGAAATTGAGGAAGACACAAGAAGATGGAAGCACCTCCCATGCTCATGGATTGGAAGAATTAATATTGTGAAAATGACCATCCTACCAAAAGTCATATATAGATTCAACACAATGCCAACCAAAATCCCCATGACATACAACACAGAATTAGAAAAAAAAATTCTTAAATTTGTACGGAAGCACAAAAGACCCAGGATAGCAAAAGCAACCCTGAGCACAAAGAGCAACGCTGGGGGGATTACTATATCAGATCTCAAAGTTTACTACAGAGCTATAGTCATAAAAACATTATGGTACTGGCACAAAGATAGACATATAGATCAATGGAACATCATTGAAGACCCAAACCTGAGTACATACAATTTCAGCCACCTGATATTTGACAAAGGTGCCAAGAACACACACACAATGGAGGAAAGACAGCATCTTCAACAAATGGTGCTGGCAAAACTGGATCTCCACCTATAGAAGAATGAAATTAGGTCCTTATCTTTCACCTTGCACAAAAGTCAAATCCAAATGGATGAAAGACCTCAATATGAAACTGGAAATTCTAAAACTATTAGAAGAAAAATATTGGCAATAACCTTCAAGATATAGGTGTAGGAAAGGACTTTATAAATTGGACACCAGTTGGCTCAGGAATTAAGGTCAACAATCAACAAGTGGGACCTCATTAAACTAAACAGCTTCTGTACAGAAAAAAAAAAATAAAGTGAAGACAAAACCCACAGAGTGTGAAAAAATCTACCATATTACCCAGGTATACCACTCCTTGGCATATACCCAAAGAATGCAGAGACACTTGTACATCCATGTTTGTTGCTGCTCTTTTCACAATAGCTAAGAGATGGAAGCAACCTAAGTGTCCCTCAGTTGACGAGTGGATAATGAAAATGTGGTTCATTTATACAATGGAGTTTTACTCAGCAGTAAAGAAAGATGAAATCATGAAATTTGCAGGTAAATGGATGGAACTAGAAACTGTTATACTAAGTGAAGTAACACAGACTCAGAAAAAAAAAAAACCGACATATATTCTCCCTCATATGTGAATCCTAGCACCAAATTCTGATAAGCGAGTATGTATCTGGACATAACTACAAGAACCAGAATAATGAAAAAGAACCAGGGAGGTAAAGGAAAAGAAGGGATCTGAAAGAGAAGAACAGTAAGAAAGAGGTGATAATAAGGGAGATATGGGCAAAAATGGGATTATTTTAGGGGGAGGGAGGAGGGAAGGTTATACAAGGAACCTTGGGGATAAAGGGAAAGAAGGAGGTCGAGAGGTGAGGCCATAGGAGAAGAGTATTATTAAGGAAGAACTGGGAAAAATGGGGGCACTTTAAATGGGGAAACCATGGTGGAATGGTTAGACAATGCAAGAGATAAATAATGCCTAGCTGGTTTTTTAAAAAAATGAGAGGGAACCATATTAATCAGAAAACCTACTGATAAATTATACATATAGCTAGCTCAAGGAATATAATATATATCTAGGCAAGGTTTATCTGAGAACATATGGTCTTTGCCCAAGCTTTATCTACATGGCACATAGTAATTAAAAGTACCAGACTGGTGGAACTAACCTTCTTGGATGTTTAACAGCCATACATTGAGGCCTATACTAATTTGTTCAGAGGAACTTAAAGGACAGTTTTTGCTCCTTTCCCTCCTAGGTCGACTTAGTTCCAGGGGACTATGAGCATCTCTCAAAATGTCCTGTAACTGTGGTGTATCACCTGTCCTCTTGATCAAGGAGGCCATGGAGACCCCATTAGACTTGAACCAGTGTCCAGTCTATAAAGAGGAGGGTCAACATGGAGGAATCATTTCCTCCATGCTTCCAAGAGAAGCCAACAATGGTCAAGCAGGACCTTTGACTTATCTTCACATAGATGGAGCTGGTAAAAGAAAGGAGCCAGGGTCTCCTCCCAAGTGCCTATGACCCCTGAAGAACAGATCCTCAAATGACCTTAAAAGTAAAAATAAATTGGTTTATCTGGGCCAACTGTATGGTCTTAAACACCCAAAAGGAAAGTATAACCAAAGATTAAAGGGAGCAATATAATTCTTTAAGAGTCCATGTGTATAGCTAAAGGCTACATAACAAGAAACAATGCCAGACAGAAGATCCCTTCAATTGAGTTGCCCAAGAGACTCCCAGATAGTAACCCAGCATAGAACTGGGAAAATGAACAGCAGACCCCAATCTTATCTAAAGGAATATTGACAACTGATAGCTGATCTTCTTAAAACAAGGAACTCTAGATAGGCTGACTAAATTCAGCAGATGACCAGCACTGGGGAACAGCGCCAACAACACAGTGGACAGTAACGGGGATGACAGAGTATATGGGCTCCAGTGGGGGGGGGGTGTTATGGGAGGGTGCCATTTGGGAAGTGGGTATATAGATGAATAAGATTGTTCAGGATGTTCTGTATGATATACACACAAAAAAGTCAACAAATTTTTAAAACTGAGTTATATTTGAAGAAGCCTAAAAATTTGCTTCATGTTAAGTAGTAGAGGTGAAAAAAAGTACCACTGAAATCTACCTGATGACTTTATATCCATACTCAGGTGCCAAGGACCTGAGTGTAACCAACTGTGACTAATAATAATCAGATACATAGAGATTAGAGATGCACGTGCAAACATCTAAGTGTTAGTAGCATTAAAAATGAGTTTGTCTGTAGGAAACAGTATATTTTAAAATGAAATGGAGATATTTTTTAAAGGTTAAAACCTCATTCAATTTTATGTCTTATAGGGTTTATACTGAGTTCAATATTGTATAACCATATTAATTCAACTGTGAACCTAAAAATTTACAGCCACTTTTGTAAGAGATGCATCTTTTCTCTGGAAATTGTTATTGAATATGTTAAAGCTGAAATGAAATTTTTTAAAAAGTGGCAGTTAAAAGGGAGGGCTATACAAAGAAATATGGGAATAAAGGGGAAGAAGGAGCTCAAAAGAGGTGGTCAAGGGAGAAATGGGGAAAATGGAGACACTTTAAATGGGAAGAGTGTGGAGGGAGGACAAGACAGGGAGAGAAAGAGGAGATAGTCAGAAATAGTACCTCGCTAGTATAAAAAAAAAAAAACAGAGAGAATGGTATTATCCAAAAACCTACTGAAAAATTACACATACAATTCCCCTACATGAGTCTGTGTGTATAGCTGAAGACTACATGACAAGAAACAGTGCCACACAGGAGAAACCTTCCTTTGAGTTATTGGCCAGGGTCATCCAAGAGACTCGCAAAATTACACAGGCTATTGCCACAGTCCTTGACTGCGTCCCAGAATTTGATGGTAAGACCCTATTGCTAAAGACAGGACATACCTTGGACACAATATTTGGAGCAATGGAGCTGGAACTGACCTGGAAGCCACTTCCCCTGAAGGCTAGATCTCACAGCTTTGTAGAGCACTACACAAGCAGGTAAGGGAGAACATCAATCAGTGGTCCAACCCTAGCTTCAAGGCCTAAAACCACATCAGTGACCAGCACAGCAAACACTGGTCCTGCAGTAGTGGTACTTTTAAAAAAATTTTATTTATTATTTCTGTTTTATGTGTATGTGTGTATTGCCTGCATATAGGCAAGTGCACCTGTGTTGTGCAATGCCCATGGAGGTCAGAAGAGGCTGTTGGATCCCCTGGGACTGGAGTTGCAGACAGTTGTTAGCAACATGTGGGTGCTGGGATTCAAACCTGGGTCTTCTGCAAGAAGAGATCATGCTCAGCAAAGAGATATTGTTTAATGGTACCAAGTTGTTGTGTGGGAGAATGAAAAGTTGTAAAAGTGGATGGTGATGGTTGTATAAAACTATGAATGTAATTAATGCCTCTGAATTATACATTTAAATAGCTAAAAGAGCAAATTTTGTTGTTTGTATTTTCCTTAAAAATAAACGGTATTGGCTGGGCATGGTGGTGCATGCTTTTAATCCCAGCACTCAGGAGGCAGAGGCAGGCAGATCTCTGTGAGTTCAAGGCCAGCCTGGTCTATGTAGTGAGTTCCAGGCCTGCTGGGGCTACAGGGAGACCCTGTCTCAAAAAGACCAAAAAATATTTTAAAAATAAATAAACGGGATTTTAAAATAAAATAAAATAAAATTTCTTGAGAGACAGGCTGCCATGTCTCTCAATCTGACCTTGAACTCACTATGTAGCCAAGGCTGCCCCTGAACTCCTTCTATGTCCACCTACTGTGTGCTGGGATTACAGACCTACACTACCGTGCCCAATTTATGCAGTGCTGGGGTCAAACCCACGGCTTTGTGCAAGCTAGGCAAGCACTCTACTAACTAAGCTACTTCTCCAACCCCTCCTGCTGTGTCTGTATTTCCACAAGAATCAACTAGGTCTTTTTATAGGTGTGAGCTGATTTCATCATCAAATTTAGAAATGTTTATATTTTTTCAGGGGCTGGATGTGGTATACATGTCTGCCTATAATCCATCATTGGAATGTATAGGCTCAGGTATATAATGAGTTGAAGGCCAGACTGGGCTACAGAAGACCCATTTAAAAAAAAAAAAAGAGAGAGAGGCAGGAAAGAGGCAGAGACAGGGAGAGAGGAAGAAAGAAGGAAAGAAGGAAGAAAGAAAGAAAAAAGAGAAAGTAGGAAATGGAAAAAAAAGGCTAAGCACATCTAAGCATATAATAGATTACTGACCAAAGTTAAGACTGTAACAATTATACAATTTAATTTAAAAAATAAACTATTTACATTGGTATCAGAACACAGAAATAAATTTGATGAAAAACTGGTAAAGTCTAGAGGCTAGAGAGACGGCTCAGTGAATAGAGCACTTGCTGCTCTTGCAAACGAACCTACTTCAGCTCCCAGCCCCCACTTCAGGTGACTCACAACTGGCCCCAATTCCAACTCCAGGACATTGGATATTTGTAGCTGCCTCTCTTGTCTCTTAAGGACAACAGCACTCTGTGCACTAAGAGTTAACAGACTTCTGGCATACAGCTCACTAAGAGTTGACAGGCTTCTTTGGGCTTTGCTGATACAGAGGCTTGAGGGAGGGTATGTCTGCTCCCAGGATACTGGGAAAAACACTGATAAGGCACCTGGATCCTGGAATACAGGCTGCCATGTCATTCACCCCGTTTGTGCATGCATCAAAGGAAATCTGTTACTGGGTCAGTCACCACAGTCTTGGGCACACTGTTTTCTTACAAAAAATCCCATGTGTGTTTTGCACTGCTTGACCTTTATTGTATGTAAACTCTATGTGAACTTCCAACACTAAGCTTCCTAAATAAAAGCTTCCCAGGAAGGCAGCAAACCTCTCCTGAGTGGTACAGCCTGGAGATGCCTGGTTTCAACTTCAGTTCCTCAGCACCTGTCATAGTAGGGCACCTACAGATGTTCTCTTCTGGCCTCCATGGGCACACACACACACACACACACACACACACACATGCAAATAGACATACACATATACATACATACACGCACACAGAATATATCTTTTTAAAAAGAAACTATCATAAAGATAGGAAAAGCATATGCTGAAAATTATCAAATATCTCTTAAAAGTTAAGGCACAAATAAATGGGAAACATTATATTCAACTTTATGTTGATTACCTGGAAAAGCAAAACCCTGTTTTCCTCTAGCATCATTTTACACACAGGCCATCATTTACTAATAAGTAAATTCATGTGTGCTTATAAGGAAATTTGATTAATGAAATACTGATATTAATGTTTTGCTCATTTTATTTAGTTATTTTGAACCAATTCTATAATTCAGGGGCCTTTCACCTTAAACACCTGACCCCTAAATAGTGAAAGTCAACTTTAGATCTGTTCTAACAAGGAACATTTCTGGTCTTGCGCTTCAGAAGTTTCATTCAGCTAAAATTAAGAAAATGCAGTGTCACACCAGAACATTTATGGAAAAGACACATAGCATACCTTGTAGCTGGTTTACTGCTGAGACCTTGAGAGACCGCAGGGCAGGCAGGGTGAGGAGCAGCTCCTGTTCTGCTGCACTGAGCTCAAGTCGGCACAGGGAGCACTTGGTGACAGAGGCCTTATTCAGCTCCAGAGCTGGGCGGATGCTTTCAATGAAGCCAGTGCTGTGGTATAAATGGAGTTCGATGTGCTGTGAAGCTGAGAAAACTTCCATTAGGACCCGGAGCATCTCCCGGTCTGCTGGACCCATATTGGTCACTCGCACTTCCAGCCGGGGAATCTTGTACTGCTTGGGTGACAGTTGCCAATAGCCCCCACTAATGTTTTCTCGAAACTGGCATTGGCTCTGCATAAGGCTCTTTAGTTTCTCTTCACCTTTAGCAATATTTTTCTCCCATTCACTCATACGTTCAAAAGCAGATGCATAATCCTGATCTATAGTTGGCCACTGGAAGGTTTCAAAATCCTTTTCCACGTCGGAAAAACATATTCTGGGTTCAGTTTTATTTCCATGTATGGAGAACTTGATCCTCCTCAACAATAACAGACTTTCTGGGAGGTCCCTAAAGTAATGCAAATTCAGTACTCTCAAAGGCAATGTTCTCCCTCGAAGGAACCAAAAAATAAATGGACAACATGTAGCAACCGTGTTGCTTTGATAAGCAACCTTGAGAGCGATGGTCAATAAGCTTTCTGAAATGAATGAAAAAAAAGCTTCTGGAAAAAACTGCCAAAATAATCTAATAACGTGTATTCTTAGGTAAGTTAATTGATGGCACTTCATGTAATCCTCATTTTCAGATATATTTGCGAACGGCTCTTTATCATTCACCAAATGAAGCAAATGAGATACAATTTTTGGTCCCGCCTTTGCCGAAGAGTTGCTGGAGACATACTTCAAAAAATTACTATAGCAGCTAATAACCCTCACAGATGAGTTCATTTGTTTCAAATAATAAAATCCCAGATCTTGGTCTTCCTGCCTTTCTGAACCTAGGAGTTCAACCAGCCTCATCCCACCAAGAAATTCTTGGAACTCAGGACTTAAAAACCGGTAGACTGGTCTCAGTCTCTGGGCAGTGAATTTGCTCATCAAGCAGGTGGTCAGATCCTCATCATCATCAACTCCTGCTTCTGTGAGGTCATCGCTACTAAACTCAAAGCAAGATGAAAGAACCCCCCTCAAGGCCAGTTGACCGCAGGAGGACACAGTGGCTTTGAGAAGCTCAGATCTAGTTTTGTGCTTTAACAAAAGGCATTCCATGTAGGCCTTGAAAACAGTCACATCATCAAGGGATGGGTCAGAAGGATTTTGAAGCCAGTGAGCACAGACTGCTGCCACAAAGAGGGGAGTTCTGTGGATTCCCATTAAATCTTTATTATTTACAAAGTAAGCCAAGAAATTTTGCAAATGTATTATATTATGTGAGAAGAAACTCCGTAAGATATAGACAGTGTTATAGAAGGGAAACTCTTTGATCTCTAGGATGGTATCTAGGTATGGGCGGATATCCCTGACCCTGTTTGTATGGACAGCAATCAACAAGCAGTTTCGTGACAAGTAGTTCCTTTCAATCAGTTTTTCTATGACTTGGGGGACTGAGCTCATTTCATGAAAGTCGTCCAAAAGGAATAACACCTGATGCTTTAACTGCTGGATGCTGCTGCTCAGGCACACTTCAGAAACAGAGCCTTCTGCCTTGAGGAGTTGGTCACAGATGATGTTGGCCAGGCTCTGGTCTGGTCTGGTAGAAGTAAGGGAGAGGTAGAAGACCAGCTGGAACCTGTTCAACAGGGGGCAGCATCCTGATGCCCAGAGAAAAGCAATTTTCTTCAGGAAGGCTGTCTTTCCACTGCCAGCTTCCCCCTCCACACACATGACAGAGTTCAAGTTGGCAAGGATCTCGGGTAGCACCAGGGCCTCTTGCACAGGCCTGCTGATGTGCTTTGAAACAATGGACAGGTCACAGCCCAGCAAGCGGTCAGTGCCTACGCTGGAGCAGATGCCAGGTAAAGACAAGTGTCGGAAACTGGCTGAGATGTAGGCTGCTCGCAGTCGCTCGCTCAGATTCTTCGCCTCTTGAAACCAAGGGGCTTCACTCTGAGCCGCCTCTGTGGAGAGAAGGGAGGCCCGATTGGATGTACATTCAGGATTTCAGTCCTAATATTGCCATGGCTTCCTACATGATTCTGCCTGTCAGCTGTGGATGGATTTGGACCTTCCTTCGCTACGCTGTCCATGACCTCCATTTGGGATCCTCTCAGGTCTTTCCACAGCAGACTGTAGGGATCACCTATACAAGTCTCCAATTTGACACTGGGACTGAGATATAATGCATGCTTATTAGGACATCCTGGCATTCTAATTTCCTACTTTTGATGTAAGGAAACCAACTTGCTGCATGGTGCCTTTAAATACTGGTTAACTTGGATCTGACAAGAACTACTGTCAGTTTGCTCGGCATTGACTCTCAAGATGCCACAGGAATTCTGACTTTCTCTCATCTACAATAATCTCCATTTCAGAGCTCTCCTCTCTAGGAGCTCTTTAGAAAATAACACACACTCCATCCTTTAAAATCCATCCATACAAATACATGTAAGCCCATGTTACTTTCAAGTTCTTACCTGCCGTGGAAGAATGCACTGCTACTGAATCCTCATGATTGCTTTCACTTCTGATTTCCTTTAAAAACAAATCTCTTATTAAATCAAAATTTGCACACAAGACACTGGGGCATCTTATTATCATGAAGTTCCAAATAACTTCTAAACACAGTACGCCCTCGACTATTTATGATGATTGATGGAAAGAGTGCTCCAAAGTGAAAGAATAAATCCCACACATCTTTGAGTGTGTATTCTTAGGTGATACACACATGGCACATACACTCATCCCATGGGTGAGCACTATGCAGGTAATCAGAATTCTGTGTCCAGAGAAAGAAAGAGCCTGAAAAAAATCATTATGGCCTCTGTTCTTAGTCATTATTAAGTACTTGTTTAATATTACACACTTGGCCAGCAGAAAGGTTAATACACACATAGATTTTTGGTTTTTTTGTTTACTCTTATGAGACAGGTATGTCAGATACATGGTCCTAGACTGGTCTGGGGTTCACTATGTAGCCAAGGGTGACCTTCAATTCTTGTTTTTAAATTTTATTTATTATTTTAATTTTATGTGTATGAGTATATTGCCTGGACGTGTATAAGTACACCCGTGTTGTACAGTACCCTTGGAGGTCAGAAGAAGGTGCCAGGTTCCCCTGGAACTGGTGTTACAGACAGTAGTTAACCACCCTGTGGGTACTTGGAATCACACCTGGGTCCTCTGCAAGAGCAGTCAGTGCTCTTAACTTCTGAGCCATCTCTCCAGCCCCAACCTTCAGTTCTTGATCCTCTTGCCTCCATCTTGCATGGACCACCACACCTGCCTTAAATTAGTCTCTTTTTGAGATAACCTAGACTCAGTGTATCCTCAGACTTAGTATGTATCTGATCATGACCTTGAATTTCTAATCTTCCTGTCCCCTCCCCACCTTCCATTCACTGAGGCGATAGGCCTGCCCCACCACACCCAATTTTATTCAATACTAAGGATGCTCAAGATACCATGTACATTAGGCAAACATTGTACAAACTGAGCTACATTTCCATCCCTGGTAATGTTGTTTTAAAATTTATGAATATAAATGAATAAAAATTTTCTTTCTGTTATTTTCCTTTCTTTTTCCTATTTTTTTGTTTTGTGTTTATTTTTTGTTTGCTTGTTTTTATTTGAGATACCCTACTGTAGCCCAGGCTGGCCTTGAACTCGTGGCAGTTCTCCCACCTCAGCCTCCAACATGCTAGAATTACAGGCAGAAGCCACTATGCCCCAATGTTTTCTTTTTGTGAGATGACAAACATAGTGCACCTACTGTACAGCCTCAAAGTGAGGTGGTATGTGTGCCGTTGAATTGATAGTTAGCTTATATCACAGAGAAGTCTGTAGGTATCTGACTACTATTGGGCTATGGTTTTTCTGGGTATTTTCTTTTGTTAAAGAAATATACCTACAGGCCAGGAGTATGGCTCAGAAGTAGAGGGCTTGCCTAACAGGCCTTGGATTTAATCTTTCATATTTCAATTTAAAAAAAGCAAAACAACAATAAAAATCAACTGTGCATGGTGGCACACACTTGCAATCCCAGAATTTTGAAGGCTGAAGCAGGAGAATCACAAGTTCCAGACCAGCCTGAGCTATATAGCAAGTTCAAGGTGAGCCTAAGATATACAGTGAGAACCTCTCTCAACAAAACAAACAAAACAAAACAAAAAAAATGAAATATGCCTTGCACATCTCAAAAGATGAAGTAGGAAGTCAAGCCTATTGCCCTCCAAATAAGATGACAAATGGGTTACATTTACTCTAGGTGTCAAAAGAATATTAATAGACTTCTCATCAGAGAAGGGACTGACCATACAATTCATGAAGTTACGTATTGTGCCCTCCTTGTTCACTGTGAAGTCCCCATTTACACCTGTCATACCATAGGTATTTAGTAAATATTTGTAGAATTTGTTTAGCTATTATTTATTTATGGTGATTGTTGTTCATGAGCATTCAGTCACGTGATCATGTGCTGCCGAGTCAGAGAAGGGGTGGTATCATTACCGTGGCTTCAGGAAGTTCCCTGTGGCTCTCAAAGTCTGGAATCTCTTCTGCAGAGGACTTCATGTTTTGCAGAAATACACAGCTAAGCAGAGAAGATAAAAGTTATAAGGTGGGCTCTGCACCACTCTAGGCTTTGCATCACTCTGGACCCTGGGGAGGCTAATCCAGACCTGCAGATAGGGACACATAGACCCATTCTGTCTCCCCACTAGCCATCATACCCATAGTTCAGAGTAGGAGCCATGTAGCATCCTGTGACTATGACCACATGTAGGAGTCCCCAGCATCAACCTACCTGTATTAGCTACTTTTCTGTTGCTGTGAAAGCAACACCGACCAAAGCAATTTATAGAAGGAAGAGTTTATTTGAGCTTATACTTCCAAAGGGGCAAGAGTCCATCATGGCTGGGAGGCCTGGAGGCAGAGGTGGATGGAAGAGGAGCAGAAGCTAAGCTCTCACATCTTTTTTAAAAAATATTTTATTATTATTTTTATGTGTATGTATGTATTACCTGCATGTAAGTAAGAGCACCTGTGTCATGCAATGCCCACAGAAGATAGAAGAGGCTGCCGGATCCCCTAGAACTGGAGTTATGGACAATTGTTAGCTGCCATGTGGGTGCTAGGATTCAAACCCAGGTCTACTGCAAGAACAGCCAGTGTTCTTAACAGCTGAGCCATCTCTCCAGGCCCAAGCTCTCACATCTTTAAGCAGGCACAGGAAGAAAGAAAGCAACTCAAGATCTGTCAAGGCTTAAGAACTCTCTAAGCCCACCCCCAGTAACGTGCTTCCTACAGCATAACCACACCTTCTAAGACCTCCCAAAACAGCACCACCAACTGGGGACAAAATGTCCAAATACTTGGAGCCTATGGGGGACATTTTCATTCAAACCACCATACTACCAGTCCACATACAAAGACACTTAGAGACCACATGGTGTCCTATCTTCCCCAATAAGGACACCTATCTATATCCATCTGAGGATGGTATGGTGTCCCGCACCTCCACACCCATGGAGCACCTCACGCTCATGCTGTGTTCCTAGCCCTGACCACCCAAAGACAACCTATAGAGTCCAGCAAGCCTTCCACATTCTTCAAAAGATCCACAGCAAGACTCTTCAAAGACCACAAAAGACTTGCTTCTAGGCTCAGAAGGTGTACCTTTCCCTAGCTGAACTGAGAACCCCATCTTATACCCCATTTGTACATCACTAAGTGATCCTAGACTGAACATTAAGCACCGTTGAACTGGTCCAGAACCTGGTAAGTTGGGGTAATAGCAAAGAAAGATCCAAACACACATGCTCAACAAAGGTAAGATCAAACCACGCCAAAAAGTACCACCAACGATATGACTCCAGATGCCTAGGTCCCATTGCAAAAGCACAAGCAACATGAATAAGACAATACGTTCCTTCCAGAGAATAACACAACCATCATGATGTTTCCTGAGAAAAGTAACTTAGCTAATTCACTAGGCAATGATTTCAAAATAGCAATTATAAATATGTTCAAGGAACTCATTAAAGGAAAAACATCAAGAGAATATTACAATCTTAAACATATCTGCACCAAACCCTGGAGCACCCAATTTCATAAAGGAACAATATTAGACATAAACCACAGATTGACCCCAACACAATGATAGTGGGTGACTTCGGTACCCCACTCTCACCAATAGGTCATCCAGACAAAAAATAAATAGTGAAATCCTGGAGTTAAGTAACATCACACATCAAATGGATCTAATAGACATTTACAGAACATTTAACCCAAACACTAAAGAATACACTTTCCTCTCATCAGCCCATGGAACTTTCTCCAAAATCTAGCACATATTAGGACACAAAGCAAGTTTAAACAAATTTAGGAAAATTGAAATGGCATCCTGTATTCTATCTGATCACAGAAGAATAAAGCTGAATTTCAGCAGCAACAGAAACACAGAAAGTACACCAATTCATGGAAACTAAACAACACACTAGCAAATAAAAACTGGGTCAAAGAGAGCATGAATGAAAGCTCCCAGAAAAATCCTGCTTCTTGGACTGAAGGCTGATCAACTGATTAGCACTTCAATGACTACAGAGTTTAAAATGTTACAGATCCAGAGCCTATTTACAAATTATCTTGGGCTGTCTTTAGCTCCTAAATAGCCACTCCTTGCCCACCTCTGTTTCTGACTTTACATCTTGTGACTAACAGATAAAAATCCTTTAAGAATGTATTAATTTAACAAATCTCTAGCTCCCACCAACTAAAAGGCTAAGAACACCATCAAATGGCATCTGAGCCTGTAGCTGAGACTTCTCTTTTGCTGTATCTGCCTACTTAATGATTACACCAATGTATTTTTTTTTTATCTTTTTGAGGCAGGGTCTCCCTGTAGCCCCAGCTGTCCTGGAACTCACTACGTAGACCAGGCTGGCCTTGAACTCACAGAGGTCCGCCTGCCTCTGCCTCCCAAGTGCTGGGATTAAAGGCATGTGCCACCACGCCCAGCTCCACCAATGTATTTTAAAAGTGTCTTCATTTATTAATTTCTTGGTTCTGTTACTATAAAAACTTCACGAGGGCTGGAGAGATGACTCAGAGAATAAGAGTATGTACTGCTCTTACAGAGGACCTGAGTTCTGAGAGACCTGAGTGATTCCATCTTGGATAAAACCTCCATAGGACTGACCCAGCCCTGGGCACTGTTCCAAGAAAAGCCACAATACTTGGAACAGATAGAGAACAACTCCCCCACCAATTGTCAATTAACTAGGGGCAGGAAAGTACTAAAAGTCCAGATGTCTTTTCAGATTTCCTGAAGACAGCAGTTTATGGTTTGGCACTGGGCTACAACCAATCAGATGCTAGCCAGGCTGAAGACCCCCTACTCCCCTACTTTCTAACCTTGCTGAAATAAACCTATAAAAACCTCTGTCTCCTAAAGCAAGGGGTCTCACTTCTGAGATCCACTGGGTCGGTGATAGAGTGGGCCCAAGCTTAAGCTTGTAACAATAGAAAACTCTTGTGCATTTGCATCACTCGGCTCCTTGGTGGTCTTTGGGGTCTCACAAACTGGGAACAACATCTTGGGGGCTCGTCCGGGATCCCCAAGCGCCCCCCCCCCCCCAGGACCCCTGAACCAGAGGTTTCCTGGCCGGCCGGTAAGTGTCTGTTTGTTTCTAGGTGTACCTGTCTGTGTCTGTCCTAGCTTTTGCTCTGAGCCTTGAGGCAAACTTGTGAACAGTGTGGTCAGGAGCAGTTGGAGCAGACGTACTGGATGACCATGACTACGGAGGTCTGGAAGATGTTCCAGACCCCAGCAGAGAGGACAGAGGGTCCCTGGACTTTGTTGATTTCTGTGAAAGAACAAGGCGGGTTGCTCCCATGACACAGCAGTTTGCCACTGTCCTACTTTCAGTTTTTCTTCCACATGAGCAGGGGAATTTCCTACTTGGCCTTCTGCATGTCTTTCTGGCTCTGTTTTGTCTTTGGTTGTCTATTTCTCTGTGACTGAGGTGGATGCAATGGGACAGACTCTCTCTACACCCCTGGACCTGGTTCTTGCACATTTTGGAGAGGTTAAGACTCGAGCCCATAACCTCTCTATTGTTGTCAGGAAGGATAAACTAACTACTTTCTGTAGGTCTGAATGGCCCACTTTCAACATGGGATGGCCCTCGGAGGGGACCTTTGATCCCGCTGTCATTAATGCGGTTGAGAAAATTATTCTTCAACCATGTGTGGGACACTTTGATCAAATATCATACATAGTGGTCTGGGGAGATTTAGTTAATAACTGCCCTCCTTGGGTCAAGTCTTTTCTTCCTTTACAGAAAACTGAGGCACTGACAGCTGCAGAACAACCCAGAAAGCACCTAAGCCTGAAACCAAACCATCAGTATCATCACTGTACTCAGTCTTACAGGGCAGCACAGAAGATCTAATTTTTCCTCCCCCTCCTTATCCACCTCCTCCACAGGAGGTACCCCCTCCAGAACTGGCACCCTTGGTACCAGAATCTTCACAGGTACAGGGGGGCAGGCTCAGGGGACTAGGAGCAGAAGGGCAGCAACACCGGAGGGTCCAGACTCTACCATTCTACCCCTCAGAGTCACCGGCCCCACGGATGAGGCTGGCAACCAGCCCCATCACTATTGGCCATTCGCCACTAGTGACCTTTACAACTGGAGAACCCAGAATGCTCCCTTTTCTGAAAATCCTAAGGAGCTTATTAATTTATTAGAAACTGTCTTATTCACACACCAACCCACTTGGGATGATTGTCATCAATTATTATAGGTCCTGTTTACCACAGAGGAAAGGGAACCTATCCAAACAGAAGCCAGGAAGTTAATTCCTGGCAATACTGGTGTCCCTACTACTGACCCAACACTGATTGATGCTGCCTATCCACTGACCCAGGTCCTGATTGGGATTATAATACTGCAGAAGGTAAGGGGAGGCTTCTGGTTTACCACCAGGCTCTGTTGGCAGGTCTCAAAGGGGCTGCTCATAGGCCAACTAATTTGACAAAGGTATATAATATTAGTCAGGAACTAAATGAAAGCCTAGCTGCATTCTTGGAGCGAATAACAGATGCTTTCTGCAGGTATACTCCATTAGACCTGGAAGCCACAGATAATATAGCGGCAGTGGCCATTGCTTTTATTAACCATTCAGCTCCAGATATAAAAAAGCTCCAAAGAGTAGAGAGACTGGGTGAAAAGAGCTTAAGGGATTTAATAACTGTGGCCGAGAAAGTGTACAATAATATAGTGCAGAGGAAAAACAGATAAAGTCAGAAAGGAGGCAGAACAAAGACCTGGCAAGGATCCTTCTGGCTGCCACTGCAGATCCAGAGGACCAGCGGAGGCATCTGAGACAGATAGTGTCAGGGAAAGGAGTCTCTGGCAGTATGTGGATGACCTACTTGTAGAGGCAGACAGCCAAGAGGCTTGCATGGATGGTACAGGGCGCCTGTTGCAAATGTTGGGAAGCCTGGGCTATCGGGCCTCTGCTAAAAAGGCCCAACTATGCAAACAACAGGTCCAATACTTGGGCTATACTCAAAGAAGCACTACT